ATGAAAGGCTAGTTACTTTGATCACCTGTGTCTTGGAAAGTTAAGTCACATCTATTGGGAACACCGAGTTAGCAGCGAGGTTGTTCGACGCCTTGTTTACGGTATAGGTAGTGGCAATGAAGGGTTCAGCACGGTTATTTCACGCACCAGGCTCCCATGTCTCGGCCACATGCTGCACATGCCAGTCCACCGAAGCTCGCGACGAGAGTTGTTTGCAGGTCGAGGGTGTGGATGGAAGAAGAGCAGAGGCGGCCAAGTGATGCATTGGTCGAGAGGAATGATGGCCCTCACTTCGAAGCTGGCCTCATTTGGAGCCTCTCGGCTCCCTGGTTGGGGAACGAAAGACGATGAAGAGGTTTAGCTGGATATACATCTTGATATGGCTAGGAGCCGACCTCAGTGGCGTTCATGCTGCGAGTTTCTTTGTCCCACCTCACACCGTCTTAGCCTCCCCCTCCATCCAACATCTCATTAGTTAGCATTTATACTTTGTATGGTGAATTAATTTTCTTGCTGATAGATTACCGGAACGATGCCCATCCGTTACTTGTGGCTCAGCTGGCTCGCACCTCCTGCACTTTTTCTTCTTTTGTCTTCTATGTATTGCGGCACAGTAGCTAAGGTGTTTCCTACTAGCTGACGCGCATAGCCTGTGTGTGTGTGTGAATGTCCTCTGCATCAGACATAGAGACTGCAGATGGCCTCTTTAACCATAATAGTTTAGCCGCTACAGATTCATTCCAACATGTGTCTGCGGTTTCCAACAACTTTTCTTATGCTACTCTCTCCTTGGAAACTATTAATGTTGAGCAGGAGATGACACCTGTTTTAATAAGTGCAGGTGTTGCGGAGAAATTTGTAGCGCCTACAGACATCGACGAGTGTCATGATGCCGTATCATGCGCTGAACCACTGCTTGACCTTACGGTGAATAACATTCAATCACACATTGATAATTCGACTTCTCAGAACCCCGGTCCTTCCTTTTTGCGCTGCCTTGGGAAATCGGAGTTGGAGTTACGTGATTCTGAGTCCATTGTTAATTCGGTCAGTCAACCAGAATACGATGTTGATTTCAATGTTCTTCATAAGATTGACAGGCTAGTGCAAAACCGCCTTCATGCAAAGGAGAAAAGTCGTTCACCAGCTGCAACTTAGAGTTGGAAGTACGTTTATTTTTTAAAGCGCTCCCTTCTGTTTGCAACTCGAAGGTAAAATGCTGAAGTAATGACTCCGATGAGGTTGGAATTCCTGGTGATTTACCTGAGTTTGTTACCACGCTGTCCATGGGTGGTTTTGCAAAATTTGCTGGCTTGCAACCGTAGCGTAATGGCAGAGGTACCAGAGAAAGGCGGTTGTCCCACACTGTCCATGAATAATGAACAATGATTTATATCGACTGAAAAGCACTTTCTTGACAAGTCCCATAGGATGGTGGCGGTAGAACTACAATTATCAAACGATAGGTGAGTTAGTTGTTTGAGCCTTTATCTAGCAGGTACGGTGCTGAATAATAGTACTGTAAACGGGAATTGCATGTGGAAGACGGGGCAACATGGTGACAGTTATAGTTAATGTATTACCTGTGAAATCTAAAATCAAATGTACTCATTTCCGTCCCGCATCCTCAGGCTTACGTGACATGCTAGACCGTTTTGGAGGAATAATAAATATATTCCAAATTTGCACAGTTTGAGCAACAAAGTGATGAGGACCAACTGCAAGATCTAATAGTTTTCTTAAATATCCATGTTAGGAGTGGAAACAACAAATGTTGGGAGTGAGCTCCAGAATTGCAAAACCTTACGCTACTCACTAACACCATGCAAGTAGTCTACCATCGCCATTTGGACCTCAGAATTACAGGTAATTCGGTACCGTGGGAAGTGACGAGTGAGTGAGCCAATCTGCAACACCAGGACAGGTACTGTAAGCTCTTTGGCAATTGGTCGCGCAACAAGCAGAAGTCATGTATTAAATTGCGCACCTAAACGTCAGCCCTCGGTAGATCAGTGGTAGAGCAACGGACCGGAACTTCGTGGGACCGGGGTTCGATTCCACGTCGAAGCAGATTGTTGTGCGCATTTTAATCGAAACTTCTACTTTCTACGAAACTTACGCTACTCACAAACAACTTTCAAGTAAAAACCGAAGTGAAAGACAATTCCAGGCGGCAAAATGTGCATACAATGTCATAGGGTTTGCTCTGAGGTTGGTGTTATGACTGCGTTTCAGCAAGTGACGGCATACGTGATTACGATAAAACATTATGTGGGAGACTAATAGGAGATCGTTGTACAGCCTTCAGTAGCATCCAATGAAAACCCCCAGTGATTACAGTCTTTGATGGTAGGACAGATGTCGTAGGCAGTTGAGTTTCTTTGAGATCCTGCTTTATGGTTTCTCCAGTACTTCTTTCGGGCTTTAACCAAGGTTGCCAAGCGTGGATGGCGTATTTAACTTAAAGACACATGAAATAATTGTGCAGCATGAGGAAGCTGGATAGGTCTAATCTTCCGAATGCTCTCTACAGCAAGCCGCCGTGCTGGTTTGCTCTCTTCGAAGCTGCTTCTGTTTTGAACAGTTAAGGTCACTTTGAATGAGCACATTAACGTCGCGTTCTTGGGAAATTATTGGCAATACATGTTACTCAAGCCGACACACGCAGACATGTCTATTGCGCAACTGAACATCGTAACATTCTGCCACATCGAACGGTAGAGTACTCAGAAGTGTCAAGTTTAACATGGTGTCGAGGTCACGCTGGAGCTTTCGTTGTCCCTCGGTTCTTTGATCGCTCACAGTAACTTGATATCATTCGCATAGAGTAGGAAATTCGAAGTAAGTTCCCTCGCCAGATCAATTATAAAATCAAAGCTAGACGGGGCCCGAGCACCGAGCATTGTAGTAAGCCGCACTCCACCACAATTGCATCGAACAGAACTTTTCTTACTTCCACTTTCAATCGACGTTCGTGCAGGAAATTGCCTATCCAATGCAGCAGTAGGTCACCAACGCCATAAAGCTGAAGTTATTGAAGAGAACTCGGTGATCTAAGCGATCAAACGCTTTTGATAAGTCCAGGTAAATGAGTTCAACTAATGCACCACCATCAAGTGCGTCAATCCAGCTGTTGCGGGCAATTGACAATTTGGTAGTGCATGAGCGCTTTTGTCGGAATGCATTTTGCTCTGGCGCTATCCTCTTGTGATTTTCCAGATACTGTATGAGAGCATCAGCCATGATAGACTCTATAACCTTGAAAAGCACACGGTGTAGTGTAATCAGGTGGTAATTTGTTGGATCAGTGTGACTACCCCCAATGGATGTAGGAGTGATAACCCCTCGCTTCCATGTTATTGGAATATGGTTCTACTCCATACAACGCTGATGAAATATAGCCAGAGGTCCCGCGAACTCCCGGACAGCTGTTTGGAAAGTCTTCGTTGGAATGTTATGGACACCAGGAGAGCTGTGGATGCGCAGGGACAACAGTTTACTTGACGCACTTTCTGTAGTCAAAGTAATATTGACTAAAGCTGATAGTGGGGCAATAGAAACGGTGATTACCGTTGGGTTCGCTAATCTCGGAATTTTGTGAGTAATAAAACCGTAAGTGATGATCGTACGCAATCTTCAGTAGTGATCCGTGCTGGAATTCGGCGTTGCACATTATGAAGATCATTAACATGCTTGTATAAGAGTTCGCGGATCGTGCAGCATCTCTTCATTAACTCCTGGTGATGCTTCATCTTGTCCTCGCGGATCGAACTCACACCCAAGTTACACTGTGCCACATAGGTAATCCAGGTTTCGGAATTCCAGGAGTCCTTGTGAGCTGTCCATGCTGAATCCCTCAAGGACATGCGTTTGCATGTTTTGGTCCTCATAAACAACTTCCTTCCCCTTTGACGATGGAAGGCTTTCTCCTCAGAAGCTCGCGTTACCAGTGTGATGAACGTCCTTGTAAAAGTGTCCAAGGCGTTTTCTGGTGAGCATTAAGTTAAGAATGTCCAAGATGCCTCCTTAACAAGCACGGATCACGCATTGTAGTGTGACAGTATATATTTTCTCGTCATCTTTCTCAGGATGATCCACACAAAATACATCATTAAACAGTAGAGTCACATAGTCACTGTGACCCAGTGGTGTGCTTGTATTTATTCCGTCTACCATGAGTGCTTCATTGGTGAGCACAAGACCAAGTACCGACAGTTTGCTAGCAGTCCGAAATCTGGTGGGAGTTTTCACCTGGTTTTACAGAGAGTAGCTGGAAATTACCTCTTGTAAACAGGATTTTAACTGCATGCTATCGGTCGCCGCTATTTCCAGATCGCGCGATGAGAATGTAACTGTATGTCTTGCTTAAAGCAACCTGAAGCACGTGGTTTAGTTTGGAGTTCGTTTCACACGTAGAGTTGGGGGGACGGTAAATGCCAGCTATAAAACATGTGTCTTGGTTCCGTAACCATAGCCGGCACCAAAGCGAATCTGGGTGAGTGGTCACATATCTGTAAAGATGGATAAAGTTTAAATCAGCTCAGTAATATAATAACATTGCACCCAAAGACAAGTTATTTTATGCATATCAACAGGGTATAGCCATGCCAAAGATTGCATGGCATAAGAAACTGCCCATTCTGTAATACTTCGAGGGCCATCAAGTGTGGTGTTGAACATCTTGCCTAGGTTATTTCAACCATATTTGATATGACAATTTCGACAGCTGTTTTATAAAGGAGATAGATGATCATCCGCAACTTGAAGCTGTGTGTGAACAACACGGGTCACATAAGAAATTCAGGTTTGTAAATAGTACAATGTGTGTCACATTCTATGGATTGCATCACTGATTTCTACTTGCAGACTGGCTAAATTGTTATATCCGGTAAATTAACCATAGAATATGACATTACATTTCAAAGCCGTAATCTATCCAAAGAGGTGGTTAAATAACGTCCGAAACTTACTGTAGTACAATTAATCATGGACGTACGGTTTTAGTTGATCCAGATTACGAAATCTAGTCAATAGTAAGGTACAAACACTTTGGATTGCGGACACATGTGTATGGCAATTAAGGAACGGGAGTCATGCTTAATTACCTTGATGGCGTTAAAGCATAAGCACGGTCACGTTTAAAAACAGCAATTCAGATTGGGCACCTATGTTTTTTCCTAGATGGAAAACGTGGCTATTTTCAGTCAGTAGGCACTATGTGCAAGATATCCCATATGCAATTATGCTTCTTCTTGAAAGATGCCTTATACTACGCAAACCACATCTAGTACTGGTCAAGCTATTGTATGGGGCACCAAGCGAAACAGATATGATTGGATTACCTTCTGTTTAAACACTCACCTAGCATGATAATGATACATTTTCGCCTAATGTGATCAGATGTAGGGAGAAACATTTTTTGGCATTAATTCAAGCTGGTATTTTCCTCGATTTATCGTTGTGGAACTGCATAAACTGGAGAAACTATTTATGAAAAGAAAACAAAATGCGTCCTGGATTTACAGTCGTTTTAGTTTCTTTTATTCTAAGGTTTGTGTATAAAAAAGTGATGTAACTTAATGAAAGCGGGCGGATCGTACTTTAGTGGTAATTGCACACCGCTAAAGATTCAACGAACTTTGCATGAGTTGCGGCTTGTTGCATAATGTTGTTCTTAGTTCATGCGTCATACCATTTGTCGCAAGACTATAGCGTTTTCAATGACTAACAATTAAAAACTTGGATCGGCCTTTTAAAGATATTGAAGAATCCATAATGCTTTGTAAGTTGTGTCTATAGGTGTTTTCTAAATTGGGCAAGCAGAACATGCATTGTCCATTTCACAATGTGCTGCGAATAAATTATATCGAAACGGCACTAACCCATCACATTCAAGGTAAATTAGTTGCATTTCACACTGCGCCCTGACAGACTACCCATGTATGTACGATGCTGCATACGTTTGTAATGTCAATTTTGTTAGTTGTGAAGATTTATCTTACTCCATACTTCGCTTTCGGGATCATACATGGGGAAGCCTCTCTGTGTGCAATTGCTTCGTTCGAATTCCAGCGTACCTTGTATCCACAGCATTTGAAATAAAATAACCTCAGTTACAGGGTGGTCATTTGTGTCAGGAATTAGCATTTTAACTTCAAATCGGTGGTGGTAGCTTTGTGCGATTTCGGACTGGGCCGCTTGGTGGCTGCAATCAATTGGCCTTAGCAACGGAGATGCCTTCCTTATGTTGCTAATCACCTGTTGGCAGAAAAGGTTTAAGATTGAAATCAATTAAAAAGAGTGCTTTCTAATCCAGTACGCAACTTAATTTTGCTCACACTGAAGTCAATAATAATCCGTTTGGACGTAACACTGCATCCAGCTAGAATAAACTTTGACCTCAATAATTGTATTTCACGTATTCTTCGCTGGCACCTAATGTCAGTAGAGATTACATTTCAGTAGATGATATTATACGTCCTTGTGTCACCCAAACCGTTGTCAATCCAACAAATGCGATATTAAATGGTATCATTAGACAAATACCATTATGTGCAGGTTGACTTAAACCTACAGGTTTCAAGAAGTTACATCCTCTGTCAGAAACGAAATTAAGATTAATTTAACTGACGTGTCCAACTTTAAAATACTTGTCTTCTTGTGTACTTAAAACTAAAGCTGATCAATATTAGTATTAATCGAAAACTTTTCATTATGCCGTATGATTAAAGCGATTGCTCCTATATACGCCCGTCTGCAACTCATCAAGATTCATTACGATCAATCACGAACATAGTACTAACGACTGGTTTACCTTATGCAAGCAAGCAGTGATCCAAGCTTCAGATAAACGGGATGGTAAGAGGACCAAATATGGTGCGCTCATCACTCGTTATCCGCATGCAAATCACCAATCTAATCCCCAAATTAATGTTATACCCCACTAACATATACCAGTTGTAGCCCGCGATAAAAGCTCTTTCGTATGAAAGAAGTCAGTGCATATCTATGTCATTTGTATATATACATTCTTTGTCCAGGCTTAGGGACGTCGCTTCAGTATTTAACACCTCTACTAATTTGGATGCACAACCATCTATATTACGCTGTCCTGTGCGCAATATTGGTATAGAAACTTCAACTGCCACTTTGCAGTTGGAAAGGCTCGATTCGTTTCCATTCTATTGACACCATTGTTCGTTTGTGATCAAAACATTGCTACTTAATCATTCTGAAGTTTTCTTTCTTCGCCAGTTTACCCGTTTCGTTTTTACGCACGCGCCGTAAGACACACAATTTATTGCTGTGTTAACCAGTAACTACAGCAACAGAACAACATTGGTACATGAGTGAAAACGAGTTGCGGCTCCAGAGGTATCATCTTATCACCATTGCAAGTTTCACTAGAGAATTTGTCAAAAAATTCCCCTACTAACAACGGTTATTCATATTAAAATGGACACAAAACCTACCATCATCACCTTGTCTAGCTTCATGAATATGTGCACGCTTCTGATTCGAGACAGTAGCACTGGATCAGATATTAGCTAAGTCTTGTACAGCCCCTAACTAACGCTCGTTAGCATTCTGTTTATCAACTTTCTCCGTCAACTGCGCACCCTGCGTTGAAGACTGAAGAATAATCTTAACATATCCATGAAGAAATTCAGTCCATTTTACTATGACATTATGTTTGGTATAACATACGTTTAGAATCTTTAAACATTTGTCTCTGTGGTTAATGTGGTGTATACATGTGCCGTCTCTCGGCATTCGACAATGGGTGCCTGATGTGGATTGCTCGTGTGTTGTGGCAACAATCCATTTGTAACAGTTAAACCGGTCGTTGCGTTCTGGGGAATGCATGTATTCAATTCCATAAGCTGGTTTTACCACCCCAGCTGAGATGGCTCTATAACGTTCAGCGTATTTCAGATAATCTTTTCCCTCATGGTGACCAGTTTTCTCGTATAGGAATGAAATAAAATGATCTTCCGGTAGTCAACCGTCCAGCTAGCAACAACGTATGACATCATTGACTTCATGGTTTTGAATATTGTTTCATTTCTTGCGGCACAATATCTGAAACATTTTGTTCACAGCTGCATTCCATGAATTTGTTTAGATTTAATTTTATATGGTAAACTTTTGTTATAATCTATATATTATAATTGGTGCCATGCATCCTAAAATCCATGTGCATGTGTAAATTGTGATGGACCAAAAACACACCCTCTCCATCTGGATCTCATAGTGATAAGGCGTCAATTGAGAACAAAGGCATTTTAATCCCTCCGGACCGATTCTGTAAGTTGGCGAACGATAACTTTGCAAGCTGCGACGACTAACTTACACTCGCTCATTCCTAAATTGCTTCAGTATCAGTGAACTCGACTAGCAAGACGCAGGTATCTGCTGGTAATCGTCGTTGTAATCACCACCCAAATTTCTTGTTTGAGACACCAAATGGGAAAAACTCCTGGGTATTAATTCACACTAAAACAAACAGCGCAGTTGTTCACATACAGAACGCATATAGATTATCGCACCCACAGATACTCACAGTTGTACAATTTACGTCTTGGTCAGGAGCAGTCGTGTAGAGATGAATTTTCATTGGGTAACTGGTAGCTACAATGGTATGATCAATCACACATGTTTGAAATAGTCGAAATGATAGACAAATTACTATAGAATTACGCACATTTTATTGAAGATACTAAGTTATGTTACCTATGAAACAAAAGCATCGTTAGCACAAATTTATGAAATGCACTGTGTGAATTATACATATGGAGAAACTTGCGATATGTTTCGTCATCTTGAGAGGCACTACACGAACGCCATTCGCTAGACAAAGTAAATAGAAAATATTCATTCAACTCAGGTCAAGTTAAAATAGGCTTGATGCACCCGGGTAGGTAGATTTTCAGCATAGTACGCTAACACTGCGGATGCTGAAGTATGTGATATTACTGTTAAATAAAAATATAAATGGTCAAATAAGCATGTATGTACATAGCACTCCAGTAAATAATTCTGCATCCTGCTGATACTTTTTGTGTCAACAAGCAAGCGGGACAGGAATGGTATAACAGAACTGCGGTAAGATACAGAATGAGAAAACAGAAACTTAAATTTGCAGCATTTAGAGGAAGCAAATAGTGTTTTTGATAGTTTGAAATGTAGTGGATGAATCAGGTCGTTCTGAATTTTGGGGTAAAAATGATCCAGGCGTCCAGATGCTTGTTAACAATAAGATCGACAAGGGGCTCTCTAGACAATCCGCTGCATTTGGATATAGGTTTATGGACAGTACAGTCAATGTGTAGTCTACCTTACGTAACCCAAAGAAGCTTACAGCTGAACTGTGAAGCCAATGTGGCAATATACATGCCGTCACAAATCTAAGAATGAAATCAGGTGGTACTGAACTACTTTAACTCGAAAAGCGAAAAATGACATGTGTCTAGCCTTACAACCTTTTCGGTAATGTGAATAGACTGATTTAAATTTCGGAATAAAAGGACTCCCTAGATATTTAATACTTGACGATCTGCGTATGAACTGGTCACTCAATGCCAATGGAGAAATGGCGTCCAAAACAACTCCTAACTCGTCAACTCAGAGAAACGAGTTGTTAGTTATAATTTAGAAATGGGGGTGGTGGTCGTACATGCGCTAGTCTCGGAATACTCAATCAGCGGGAACAATACATAGGTCATTAAGAGTGGATAAAAGCAAATAGCCAAAGGTTAGTTGACGATGAACTCAAGATAATCAATCCACTAAGTACAAAAGCAGAATAGACGGCGTGGAACTAGCACTGACGTGGCGGACTGACTTAACTCAGCCAATCTGAGCAGGTTTGGTGGACGGACACAGGTTGGAGCGAAAACGTCAAACTATCATCATTAGAGCCAAAAACAACAGTGTCTCACAATTGTATGATCCATTACATAGATGCACGCGAATTGTACCACCAGAACGAGCTATTAGATAGTTATAAATGTAGTCATATTT